TAACACTCTCCTCCCCACCCTCGCCCAGGGGAGGCCTCTCTTTTCTTCTTTCCACCCAAGGCCCTTCCCCAGACAAGGCAGCCCACTTGCATTCCCCGACCTGGCAGATGGGTCGAAATCTTGGGCTACTCGGCAGGAGGGGAGACAGGCAGGTCTAAGGAGCCCTTTTATGGGCCGTGGGGACAGGGATATGGGAGCTGGGGAGGAAGGTTGGAGAGAGGGGAACCTGGGGCGGCGCGCGGCTACCCGTTGCTATAAAAACCTTGGCGTCTGCGGAGGTTCCCCAGCTCCGTTGCCAGGAGATTAGGGATTCTAGAATCAAGGGTGGGGTGGGGGGCATTTTACCAGCTTATCACATTCGCTCTTCTAACCTCTCCTCCACCCCCTCTAGGTCCCTCCTTGGGGGCAGTGACCTCAGAGCCAGTGGCTTGAGAAATTGGGGAAGATTATGTAGGGTGGAGCCTGGGACCTAATCCTCCTACCACTAGGGGTACGCAAGAAGCAACCCCGCCCCAGGCCGCTGTCCAGCCTCTCTAGCCGTCAACTCGTTGCCTGAAACCTGCGGGAGCAGATAAGGACTGAGAGACTGGGCGGGGAAGAAAAATGTGGACTGTACCAAGTAACATTGCCTCTCGGAGGTGCAATGACTCAGGAGTGCGGAATCTTTTCTCTTTTGTACCCAGAAAGTCACACCCTACGCAGAAAGGAAAGTACAAACATTTATCTAGGCCTCCTTTTTTGACCTCTCCCTTTCAGTTCCTTCCTTTCCTCGACGTTGATTGTTCTTTGCCCCCTCTCCTCCCTCTGTGCTTTGGTACGAGCCGATGGAAAGGGGAGGAGGAAAGAAAAGGAAAAGGAAGCGAGCAGGTCTTAAAGGGGCAGCAGCGGTTTTTTAAGCCTCCTCCTTCCTCCAATTTTGCAAGAGCGAACGCAGAAGAGTAGGTTTCCGGAAGACAAGTACAGCTGGAACAGCAAGGGCTGCAGCTGGAGGTGGGAGCGCGTGCGGGGCTGACGGAGGCGAAGGTCTGCCCGTAGAAAGGGCGGGGTGTGCGCGCCCCCTGCGCCCAGCGCCCAGCGCCCAGCGCCCAGCTGGGCCGGCCCATGCTCCGGCCGGCAGTGAGCTTTAACATCTGGGGCCCGGCTAGGGCAGCAGGGACCTGCGCGCAGTGGGCGAGGCCGATGCGCCGGGCCGGAGGGTAAACTGTCTGGCGGGGCTAGGACAGAGCTGGCACCTCCATATAGGGCCCAGGGCACCCAGTAGGCCTCCGCGATGCCAGGCGAAAATATCTTCCTGTTTGTGCCTAACCTCATCGGTGAGTGTATCCGCGGCTCCGGCCCGAACGGGATGGCTAGGGCCCTTGCTTGGGCAGGCTCCCTGATCTGCCCTGTCTCCCCTTGTCCGATCCCAAGGTTATGCCCGGATTGTCTTCGCCATAATTTCTTTCTACTTCATGCCCTGCTGCCCCCTCACGGCCTCCTCCTTCTACCTGCTCAGCGGACTTCTGGACGCTTTCGATGGATACGCTGCTCGAGTCCTTAATCAAGGTGACAGACACCTCTTTCCAGCCAGCCTTGGGGTCCAACAACCCTCTGGCCCCTTTTCCTGCCTCCTCAGGACCTCTGGGTGGGCGAGTACTCGGGAATCTGAGGGCTCTGTCATTCCTATCTCTGAAGCAGAACAGAATGGCCTGGTTTTGTAGCAGAAGGGATTTAAGTTCGCTGTTGAGGTGAACTCAGAGATAGTGAGGGGTGAGGGATAGCAAGACTGGGCGTGGAAGTGCTGGAGGCCTCTCTGAATAAAAATCCATTCAACAATGTTTACTGGGCATCTACTGTGTGCCAGGCACAAGCCATAAGGATTCCAGAAGGCATGTTTAGAGGGAGGATGGAGAGGGAAGGTGGACGGCTTCTGGAGGGTTGACTAATTTTTTCATCTGTTCTTCAGCCCTGCCTCCAAGACTTCAAGTCTCTGTGTCTTGAGACCTGGATCCTTGGATCCTTGGTTCTGGGACTGATGAGTTGTAGAGCTAGATTTCTCACTCCCTCCTACACTGTTCTCTCCACACTCCCATGCTGCCTTGTTACATGGTGTGGTGACCCTTGCCCTTTGACCTTCGCACCCCAGCAATAGGAGCCTGTTTTCCTCCCCGGGCAATGGATGGTGGACATTTTCACTCTTAGGCTCTGCATCAAGTGATACATCAAATATGCTCACTGTCGTAGATCCACTACCCTCTTCAGCCCCTTTCCACCTAATAGTCCCCATTTTTCAGGAACCCGGTTTGGGGCCATGCTGGACATGCTGACAGACCGCTGCTCCACAATGTGTCTGCTGGTCAACCTGGCCCTGCTGTACCCTCGCGCCACCCTTCTCTTCCAGCTCAGCATGAGCTTGGATGTGGCCAGCCACTGGCTGCACCTCCACAGGTCTGCGATTCCAGGGGTGCTGAGCAGTTGAAGACATTGCGGTGGGGAGGAGTGAAACTTTCTGGGGAGGAATGTCTTCAGGCTTTGGGGGAGATCTCCTGTTTAGCTCTGCTTTGTTGAAGGACCCTGGGAAAATCTCTAAATCAGCTTCATTCATTCTGTTTTACCAGTGGTTTAAGCAATCCTGAAAACTCTTCTGACTGGATATTTGAGGATTTCAAATAGATAACACCCCCCGGGAAGGGGCGTAGGGCATTAGAATCCTCATTCTTCCCCCATCTAAGTAATCTGTGTGACTGCCGGCAAGCTGGTGATCCTCAGCTGTGCCCCATTCTCTCCTCTGTTCAGCAGAGGCAATCCCAGGCCCTACCTTGTGGGGTTGATAAGAGAATTAGATGGGTATTTATGGTAATTAACACTTATAGATTCCCCCTACTTTCTCCCCAAGTTCTGTGGTCCAAGGCAGTGAAAGTCACAAGATGATTGACCTGTCTGGAAATCCAGTGCTTCGCATCTACTACACCTCCAAAGTAAGCATTTCCTGCCCCTCCCTATTTACTCAGCTTATGGCAAGGTCTGGCTGAGCCCTAGATCTGGGGTAGGATCTGCAGGAAGGGCCTGTGTGAATTGCTCCAGGCAGCAAGATAACCTGAGACCCAGGTGCACGCAGAGAGGAAGAATTCTTTGGCTTGAGGGGAGAGGGAAAGAGGGAGGGAAGGAAGGAGAAGCCAGAGCGGTCTGCAGAACCAGCTCTCAAAAGGCTGTAGGCTGAGACAAGGAGTGTAGACCTTATCCTGGGCGGAGGTTGTAGCACCGTCAGATAGGGTCCAGGGCCTGCAGCGATGCCAGGCAGAAATATCTTCCTGTTTATGCCTAACCTCACTGGTGAGTGCTGCCTGCGGATCTGGGCCAAAAGGGAGGGGGAAGAGGGGCAGATTACCTGATTCCCAGATCCCCCCAACCATCCCAGCCTCACCACAACCCCCTGCACCCCTGTTTCCCCAGTACAGTTCCTGACCCTAAGTTTGTTGGGGAGGAAACTGCCCCACCCTCTTGTTTAAGCAACGTTTTTGCTGTTTGTGCAGCCTGCTCTGTTTATCCTGTGTGCTGGCAATGAGCTCTTCTACTGCCTCCTCTACCTGTTCAATTTCTCCGAGGGACCTTTAGGTAGGAGATGAGGTGCCGGGCAGGAGGATGGGAGGAGGACTGGCCTGCCCAGAAAGATGAAGGCTGCAGACTCTTGGGCCTGTCCCTGAGTTTGCATCCTGCTTTCTCTGTATCGCCCGCCTTTGCTCCCTTCCCACAGTTGGCTCAGTGGGTCTTTTCCGAATGGGCCTCTGGATCACCGCCCCTATCGCCTTGCTCAAGTCCCTCATCAGTGTCATCCACCTGATCACAGCCGCCCGCAACATGGCTGCCCTGGACGCAGCAGACCGTGCCAAGAAGAAGTGACCCTGGCACCTCCAGCCCCTGGCTGCTCACCTGCCCTGGGAGCCTCACTGTGCTACGCGGCTCCCCTCTCCCTCCTAGGAGGTCCCAGGCTCACATCTTCCTAATGCATCGTCCAACCTGTGGGGAAGGGAGGGTTAGCCTTGTTGGTGATGTCATGTTCTCCGTAATCCCGAGGACCAGTCCCACCCCCGTGAGCTCCAAGGACCTGGACTTAAAATCAGGAAGGATGCTCAGGAGGCCCTGCCCCACATGGGCAGTGCTTCTGGGGCACCAAGATTGCTGTCTGAGGACTGGACATTGTCACAGCTGCTGGCTCAGCCCTGAGGTCTGGCTGGGCCTAAGACTTTGGGGACACTTGAGTGAGGGAGGTGGGGTAGGGGACAGGTTTTCCAAAAGGCAGGGATTCAGACTTCTGACCCTGGCTAGAGGAAGCCTCTTGGCACTGTGGCCGGGAGAGAAGGGACCTTCTAGATCCCTGTTGCAATCTCCTCTGTCCTGTCTGTCCTGGCTCTGAAAGCCTTGATAATAAAGGCAGGAGCATCACTATTTTGGACTTGGTTTCCTTTGAGATCCTCTTGGTCCAGGGCCTGGGTTGAGAGGAGCTTGGGGAAGAGGAACTTGAGGGGGCACAGACTTTTCCTGTTCCTACTCTATCCCTGCAATGAAGATTAACCTTGACCTGGCATATCGTAGCTGCTTAATGAATATTCACAAATAGATCAGTTGGTTTCACAGAGTGCAGGCCTTAGACTGCCTGTGGGCTGTTTCTTAAAAATTCAGCTTCTTGGAGCCATGCCAGTTCTTCAGAGTTGGAAACTCTAGGGATGGGCCCAGAAGTCTGCAATTTTAATAAATTCCAGATGATTGACTTCCCAATTACATTGAGGATCACTGTTCCCTTTTAATTTTTTGGGTACCTATCATCCAGAAGACATTGTTCTGGGCGTCTGTCCCTAATAGCTACACTTAATATCTGAGCTTTCTCTGCTGTCTGGCATCAGCTTTCTTTTTAAAAAACTATTGAGTCTACCATATGTCAGATCCTTTGCTGGGGATTCTTTGCAGATATTACTCATTTTATCCTTACAGTAGCTTAGCCAAGAAGCCCTTGTGTCCTGGAGAGCTGAAATTTATCAGGTGTGTATTGAGCCTCAACTCTTGTGCTAAGACCAGGGGATTCGGTGGGAAGGAGGCCACGGAGGCCACCGCTTTCCAGCCCTCTTATAGGTCACAGGCCAGCCAGCTGGGATATGGTAATACAGTTAGGGAGGTGCTCGTTGGGGGATGGGAGTAGACTGTGCTGTAGCATTTGGGTATCTCAAGTAGAAAGCTAATAGTAATTGGGGCAGAAAGGGTTAATGCAGAGGAGAGGATTGATTCTCAGCTGAGGGAGCTGGGAGGCCGGGAGCTGGACAGTTGCTAAACAGAAATGGAAGCCGATCGATTGATGTGGCTGGAACACCGAGTGCTGGGGGTTGGGGGCTGGAGAGCTGATGAGAGATGGGGTGGAAGCCAGCGGCAGCTGCAGGAACCCAGGAGGGCATTTGGACTTCACCCTGAGGGCCACGTGGAGGCGCTGAAGGAATCTTTCAAAATAACAAGTAAATTATTCACATGTAAAAATAGTAAATTACACACATTACAAAAGGATGATGCAGTCTCATGCCACTTTGAACTCCTAGTTCTCCCCAGAGGCAACCACTGCTGCTTGTAGCTTATGTGTCTGTAAATTCTGCACTGTTGTATTCCATATTTTAAAATTTGTTTTGTGGATTTGCTGATCTGCTAACACAGGCTACAGCTGTTCCAAGAGCCTTTTGCATGCAGTTACCTCATTTTACCTTGCGTCTACACTATGCTGTGTGCTAAACAATAGAGCAAGCCTCTTATTGTGCCCATTTTCTGGAAAGGAAGTCAAAGTCCCAAAAGGATCCCAACTTGGCTGGCTTGGCTCTAGTTACGTCACCCTTAACATTTACCACACGTACCTGTTCACATCAGCAATCTTCTTAATGGTGGCCCAGAATTTCGCTATTTGTTTAAGTGGATCCTGCCACCACAAACAATGTCTCAGTAAATAAGCTGGGCCCTTTATCTGGGGGCACTTGTAGGATGAACATTGAAGGATTTTAAGCGGGGTGGTGGCAGGGACAGGTTTGGACTTGAGGAAGATTGTGGTTCACCAGCTGAGCTGCCGCTCCAGCTACAGACCTTCCCCTGCCTCCCAGGCAGGTGGGAGGCTGAGCTGTGGTCCCTCACCCTCAGTCCATCATCCTTCATCCTTAGTGATACAGCTCTCCCCTCCAGCAGGATGAGTCCTCTGAGCACTCACTAAGGCCTCACAGCCCTGACTGCCTCATTGGCTGTTCGGCCCTAAACATTTGCCAAGACATCAGGAGTCTCTGTTTATGTAAATCCAGCAAACTGGGATCTAAAGAAGAGGGAGAGGTGGGCAGGTGAGCATAAGTATCTTTGACTTGAGTAGAATGAGGGATCAGCATGGAATGCCCTGTGTCCCCTCCCCTGCTGGGGCTGGGGGGTTAGCCAGGTGCCTTTGGTCTCATGTCCAGTGGCTGGAGGAAGCCCAGGAGGAACCTGCAGGGTGGCTCTGTGTCCTGGAGGAGGAGGATGGGAAATGTCTAGGCTGAATTTGATCTAAGGAACATCGTGGAGTCACATTATATGTTGCTACTGTCAAATGTTTGTGTGTCCAAAGAATTCATATGTTGAGACCCAGTGCCTGATGTGACAGTGTCTGGAGGTGGGGCCTTTAGGAGGGGATAAGGTCGTGAGCCCTCATGAATGGGATTAGCATCCTTTTAAAAGGTCCAAGAGAGCTCTCTCTCCCCTTCCACTAAGTGCGGAGGACGTGGCGAGAGGTTGCTGGCTCTGAACCAGGAAGAGGGTTCTCACCAGCACTTGACCTTGGTTCCTTGATCTTGGACTTCCAGCCTCTGGAACTATGAGAAAGAAATTTCTGTTGTTTACAAGTCTGTGCTATTTTGTTATAGCAGTTCGAATGGACTAAGACATGCACAGTAGCAACTTCCTGGAATTCAACTACCTGCTTTCAGATGAATGAATAACCACCACGCAGGGCACTCTGTGTGCTCCCTCCACTCTGCGGGCTCTGCAGGGATGGGCACCATGAATACGCTCTTCCCTCAGGTGGTCTTGAGTCTCCTCCCACCTCTCATTACTGTGATTGAAGATATCCCTAACAGCTATAAAAAACCTCAAACAAGATGGGTTATTTTTAACTCATGCTAACTCCTAATCAGGAGCACCTGACTGGGAGGTAGCTCTCCTGAAGCAGAGATCTGGGGACTCAGGCTCCTTCTGACTTATGGTTCCATCATTTTCAACACACAGGACTTCCAAGAACACCCTGCTTGCTTTCATCTCATGCAAGTAGAGGAGGTGCACCTGGAGGATTGCACGAGGCTACTTTTATGGGAAGGCCGGGAATTAGCATGTTACTTCCACTCCCCTTCCACTGGCTACAACTCAGTCACGTGGCCACATCTATATGCAAGGGACGTTGGGAAAGAGAGATTAGTTGTGGGCCGAGGAGGAAGAGAAAATGGATTTGGTAGACAGCGTCTTACCATGCTGAGGGTGATTTTGCTGTTTAAACAGATTTTTCTTATACAAAGGGTACTTAAATCAATTAGTTTATCTGGTATTCAACCAAAGAAAGGCCATTTGCTCCAGTGCCGGAGGAATACAGGCTGTGTTGATTTTCATCAGAGATCACGCTATTTAACGGGCAGTTTAAGGGAACTTCAAGAATAAATTTGGTACCAAATGACTGACTTAGAATATAGCTCTGGCATGAGCTGGAACTCCACTAAATTTCCAGCAAGGCCTTTTCTACCAGAGGTATATCTTATCTCTCCACCTATCCAATCAGTGCTGGGGAGACAGTGAAAACCTGTCTTCATGCATGCAGTTTAAAGGGCAGCTTCTCCTATTACCTTACTGGATTTCACAACCTTGTCAGGTACATGTAGTCAGTATAGGCTAAATTATGCTGTGGTAACAACCCCAATCTGTTACTTAATACAGCAAACTTTTCTCACTCCTATTGCCTGCTTTATGCCATTTTTCTCTCTAGGATCCAGGCCAATATGTGGAATATTTCTGGTTAACACAGAAAAGGAAAGAGGATGGTCACTTCCCCTTGCATTTCATTAGCGAGAACAAGTCATATGGCCAAACCCAATGGTCACTGGAAATCTATGTGGAGACATCAAGTCCTTAATTGGAAATGAATTAGAGCTCAGGGGTGAGATCGGGGGTGGAGAAATGGATTTTGAATCTAAAGCGATGAGACTGGCCAAGAATGTAGCTGAGTAGGAGAACAAGGCTCAGAGTGACACGATTTAGCAGCTGAGCACAGGAAGAGCTGGCTAAGGAAACTGAGGCATGGCCAGTGAGGTGGAAAGAAAAGTGCAGGCAACGTCACGGGAGCCTGTTGTGGAGGAGGGGTAGCCACTGTGCCCAATGATGGGAGAGGCTGAACGAGAGAAACTAAGTGCTGGGTTTAGCAACAGGGACATCACTGGTGATGCCAAATAGAGTGGTTTCCATGAAGCAAGGGGTGGAGACAGAATCTAATTGGAGTGGTCTGAGGAGATAGTAAGAGGTGAGGAATGGAAACAGACATTTGGCTGTGAAAGGGAAGATGTGGCAGCTGGAGGGAATGGAGGGCTAAGGAGAGCTGGTTCTACATGGGAGGGGGTAGAGCGTGTTTACGTACTGGTGACACTGACCCAGGAGATGGGACGAAATGGATAGTGCAGGAGAGAGAGGTGATGGATGTAGGAGTGGACGAGAGGACCTGGGAGGAGGGGGAGAGCTGGGCTCAGTGGGAAACAGGAGATAGGACAGAGTCCAGATGGGGTAGTTTGATAGATTCGATGCTGGAAAGGGCCTTCCTGGCCAACATGCTTCTATTTTCTCAAAGAGGTGAGAGAAAGTGGGCAGGGGTGTGGGAGGCTGAGAGCAGAGGAGGTGTGAACAGTTGTTCTAAAGGGGATCTCGCACAAGCTAGATGAGTGGAGTCAGAGGCCCTTCGGTCTTTCTTGAAGTCTGTTGCCATGAGTTTCAAACGAGATCAGTCAGTATGTGGGGTGTTCTTCCTCCAGGAACACACAGCTGATCAGGGCGGGTGGAGGGGGCGGTAGTCATTTTAAGTAGGGATGGGGCTTTTTCCACTGAGTATCATGGGGGAGGGGGAGGCAGGGGAGGGAAGGAGATTCTGAGTAGATTACATGACAGATGACAAATCTAAGCTGGGCAAGATTGAAGTGAAAGGGGGCGGGGGCAGGGGCTCAACGTTGAGAAAGTAGTTGAGGTAAAGGTCAGACTGATGCCTTGAGCTGGAGAAATGGTTGTCGAAAGGCGAGGATGAAGCAGCCAGAGATGAAGTTTCAGATGTGGTGTGGTTATTAGTAATGGCAAGGTCAACGGATGGCAAGGGAGCCAGGCCCGAGACAGGAGGGAACTCACCCTCTATGGACAACTTTACCTGCTGTCACTTATCCTGAGGCTCTGGCTACAAACAGCATGAACAGCGCACTCAGCACGTGCCAGGTACCAGATGAAGAGATTTAGGTTAGTTACGTCTCCTAAGGGAAGGTGTAGGAGGGTTTATAGGAAGCAGGGGGGGATGAACTGACTCACGTGCCTATTCCATCAACATTGAGATGGCACAAGTACGGTGGGCTAAACAGACACCCCCCCGCCTCAACCAGCCCAGACTTGGGTGGAGCCATTGGTCACAAATGCAGCTCAACTTGGAAGGAGATAAAAGATAATGGGGTCAGTCCCCAATAGGGGAAACGGAATAAGACCCTAAAAAAGCTATCAACCCTACTTAAGAGGGGAATTGCTGGCCCATTTCACAAAGAAAAGATCAGGGAGGCTAAGTTCTTCTCTCCCCATCCCAGGATCTTTTGGCTTCCTCAGCAGAGGCCAGACACCCCTGGGAGCCTCCACTTATGTACCCAGACTGATTGTACTGAGATCCTCCTCCCAAGAGAGTAAGCGCTCAATGGTTGTGGGGGAGCATGAGAAGGGCCCCCCACCCCATGCTCAGAAGAGTCCATACTTGAAGCTCAGGGACGTGCTCCAGTATCCCCCTCCTGACTCTGACTCCCCCATCTGAGAAGGGACACGTGCACAGGTGTGTGGTTGGGCCAGCAGGTGGCGCAAGAGAAAGAGCCTCCCACGTGCTGGAGGTGGGGAAGCTGGGAATGGATACACCCGCATCCAGAAGGTTAAGGCTCAAGAACTCCCTGGCCACACTGGACTCCTGGAGATATTGTCAGTGAGAAGAGATGTTGCTAGCACAGGAGCCATCCCAGAGGGGTACAGGCTCCATCCTCTCACCCGTGGCATCATCTCCCCCCGCTGCTGTCTAGGAAAGCTGACTGCCAAAAGGATCACCTGACTGCTGTGTAAGACTTGGGGCCACATTCCCATCAGCATGACTCTGGGTTAGTCTTCTCCCTGCCTCAGTTTACTCTCCACTTTACAGATGAGGGTAGCCTGTGGTAACTATCAAGATTTTAGGGGTATCTCCCCCACCCCCATTAAGCTCCCTTGTGATACAGACTTAAGGCAACAAAAGAAGGTTTAAATGCCCAGAAGTGTCAGTTTTATTTGTCAGTGAGGTACGGAGCTAAGGCACAACCTGGTTGCCTCCAAGAGCTTGAGGGATAGCAGTGGACTGGGTAAGTAGGCCCCCTTGGGGGCTGGGACCCCCGGCCACCTTCCTGGCTGGGGACTGGGCCTCAGACCCGAGCCCCAGCAGACCCAAAGCTGTGTTAAAGAGGTTGATGGGAGTGGAGCCATCGGTGATGAGTGTTGATTTCAGGCCCAGGCTCTGGAGCAGTTTTACCTGGAAGGAGCAAGAGGTGGGCAAAAAGATAGTCAGACCTTTCTCTCATCCCCTTGGCCTCCTCTCTAGGGTGGGCTGCCACCCACCCTGGTCTGACCCTGCAGCTGCTGCCCAAGCCAACCTCATAGGATTAGTCAGTGACAAGCAAGGAACATAAGGGGAACCTGAATATTTCATCCTCTCTTGGGCCTCAAGGGCCTGAAAGGTCAGGTCCCTCCCTGCCTGCAGCTGCCTCTAGGAACTCACCACTCCACCTCCACCTGCCAGGTTGCAGCCATCCAGTCCTTTCTGTTCCTTAAATGCACCAAATTTCATTCTTTGCCCTTGGACCCTCTCCTGGGAAGCGGCTGTCAACTTTACGAAGTGCTCAAGCATCCCCTCTTCAGAGTGGGCCTCCTCACCCAGCTGGCTGGAAGCGTCAACCCCCCCTTCACCACTCTTTCAAAGCACTGGTCAAACTGACGTCCCAACTGTATACTGTCCCCACAGGAGCGCCAGCTCACCACCAAGTCTAGTACATTGCCTGATAGGACCCCATGCTTGAATGATACGTGTCAGGACACGGGATACGGACACAGTCCAGTCACCACTTCCCCTTTTCCTTCTGTCCCTGACATCGCTCTACAGGTTGTGTTTGCCTCCCCAGCTCTGCCTTCTCCATTCCAAGTATGGTCCCAAGACACACACACAACCCTACCCACACTCTCCCCGTCTCACCTGCATCTCTGGCCCTGCCACAGCGAGGTCCCTGATGGTGCTGGGGCCCAGCGCCTCTGTCATCTGCCTGAACTTCTTCACCTCCACCTCGGCCAGCTGCTGGGCCTTGCTCACCTCCAGCTCCAGCTGGGCCCGGGCATAGACCAGCTCTAGCTCTCGCACTTTCTTTACTCGCTGCAGTTCAGCCTCCTGGAAGGGGAAAAACCAGCATTCCTTTGATTGTGTGGCCCCTGAACATGTCCAGCAAGTCACCTAGCCAGCAAGCCTGAGGAACCTGAGACAGAGGGGATGGAACTGTAAACTTCCAGTCAGATTTGAACCTGGCCTATGCCACCTTTTAGCTAATGACCCCTGGGAGCCCCTTAATCCAAGCCTCAGTTCTCTCGTCTGTAAGATGGAGATAATTCCTACCCTTAATGGGATTTCAAACATTAAAAAAGATCTTGTATGTAAAACATATGCAATACCTAGCTGGCAAGTGTTTGATCATGTTATCTGTAAAATGAGTGTAATCATCAGCCTTACCTTCAAAGCAGGTTTAAAGTGAAATGAAATAGGGCAAAGACTTTGTAAACCACAAAGTACTTGAACAGAGCTTTACGTTGGGTGCTTGGTATGCTAACAGGGCTTCAGAGACTGCAGTTATAGGGTCTCTTCCAGACCCCAGGGCCACACCCTCCCATAAGCATCTCCCCCACTCACCGTCTCAATGGCCAAGGCCTCTGCCTTCAGCTTGGCCTGCAGCACGGAGCCTTCTCCCTCGATGCGCGCTGCCTCTGCGCGGGACTCGGCCTCCGCCTTGGCGGTCCCGGTGCTCTCCACCGCGGTGCTGGAGGTGGCGCAGAGTCAGGCAGACCCAGGAGGAAGCCCAGCCCTGCCCTCCTCCGCCCTTGACTTAGACTGTAGCAGCCCATGTGCACACACACGCTCCCCCCACAAGCTGCTTTTCCAAGACCCTCTGCCATCTTTTCTTCTAGTCCACCCACCTCAGAGCCTCCAGCTCCAAGAGTTCCCTGCGAGCTTTTTCAGCCTCTGATTGGTCTAAGATCTTCTGCCTCTCAAGCCGGCCACGGGCTTCTTGTTCTAGTCTCTGAGCCTCATGCCTGGGTGAGAGGGGGAACAGGGAAGATGCTGGCATGAGGCCAGAGCTGAATTGGAGCTCCAAGGGCAGGGTCCACAGGCCCATGGGAGGCCCTCAACATGCAAATGAAAGCAAGATGTGCTCAGCAATCCAGGCATGATTCTAGGCACAGGGACACGTGGCCATGACCAACACCCCTGCTTTCACACAATTTACCTTCCAGTGGGGAAAAGTCAAGTGAACAAGAATGATTTCAGACAGTGACAAGCTCCTTGAAAACAAGTGATAAGATAACATGGCTGGGCAAAGAGGGTGCTGCTTCATTTGGGGAAGAAAGACAAGGGCTCTCCATGGAGGTGATCTTTGGAGGCCAGAGCAGGAGCCCGCCCTGAAGTTCTCTAGAGGAAGAACATTCTGGGTAGAGGGTACAGCCAGTGTAGAAGGCCTTAAGGTTGGAACCCAGCCGTGTATCTGAGGAGCAGAAAGGAGCTAGTGGGCCTGGAGTGGTGAGCCGGGGGAGGAGGCCAGAAGGTGAGGTGAGGGAGATGGCACTGGACCCCAAAGTGCCCAGAAGGCCACAGAAATGAGTTTGGGTTCCAGCACAAGCAAGGTGAGAAGTCACAGGAGTAGGGGTGGCATCTATTCCCACTTTAAGTGGCCCATGTTATCTGCTGGTTAAGGATGACAGCAGGCTGACCACCAGGGGATATCATGTTACCCAGGTCCTGGCAGCAGGCTGGAGATGGGGACCCTGGATTGGTCTGGCCTGAATGGGTAATGTGGGTGGCTGGGCCCCTAGTCCTCACTCACTTGGCAGCGGCCTCCTGAGAGTTGGTGGTGATCTCAATGGCCAGCTGGACGCTGCGCTGCAGGGCATCCCGGGTCCTCTGGTCCACGGGCTCCACTGATTGCACATCCACACTGCTGACCACCAGTCCATTTTGGGGGAAGACGGCCCGGTCCCGGGGCTTGGGCAGGGCCGTGCTGTCGGACCCCTTGATTTCAAGGGTCTCAAAGCCAAAGACAGCAGTGCGAATGATGCGGGCTGAATTCTTATGGAAGTCATCAAAAGTGACAGAGGCTACAGCCCCCCGCACCTGGGATGCAATGGCCTTGCAGGCATCACCCACGAAGTCGGGCACTGAGAAGAGCTTGGCCGCCTCTTGGGGGTCATTCCGGTCACTCAGCTCAAAATGCCTGGGAACAAAGACATCTCATCTTCAAAAAGGACACTAAAACCCATTCTCCGTGGTTGGGCAGGGTCTTATGACAGAGAGTGCTGATTGGTATCTGCTATTTCAGGTGAAGTCCTGAGAAACTTACATGTTCCCATTTAATTCGCACAGCCACCCCATGAGGTGAGAATGAGCATTATCCCCATTTTACAGATAAGGAAATAGAGGTCCAACAAGGTTGACTGACAGGTCTGAAGTCACACAACAGGTGCCAAGCCAGAAAGCTGGACCCAGGCAGTGCGCCTCCAGGGTCTGTGCCCTCGGGAATCATGCTGCAATACCCCTAAAGATGTCAGTGCCCAAGCTGCCTTTGTCATGGTCCTGGCCACTCAGCCACCAGGTGAGGAACACGTGCTTGGGAGCTGTCAAGCATTGCTTCTGCATCTGACTTCTCTCCCCTAACTCTAATTGCTGCCATTTGAGCTCTAACTACAGTACAGGTCACTGTTCCAATTCTCACCGCATCCTTTCAAGGGCCCCCTGAAGCTGTCATTGCCATTTTACAGACTGGGAAACCAAGGAAAGCACCGAGTACTTGCCCAGGCCCACGGCTAGCACGCGGCAGGGCTGGGATGCAGACCCGTCAGCCTGAGAGCTTTAAAACCTCATGGTTACATGTTTGGCTGAAAACACACTGGGAGTTCAGGTGAGGAGTGTTCTATCATGCCTCACGCCCAAATCCTGCTCCCAGGTGAGCCCAAATCTCCCTTGTCATTCCCCTCCGGCATCAGACTGGATTTGCATGAACTTCTGGGTTTCCTGGTTTCCACTTGACCGTGGCATGGGGCCAGGCATTCTGCCCCTGATTGTGAGCCCAGCACTCGGAGTGGTATTTCTCCTCTTCAGGGTTTCCCTGGGGCAGCACCAGCAGGAGCCCTCACCCTCCTCCACCCCCCTGCCCCTCACCAGTTGTAGGCAAGCTGCAGCTGGAGCCTGGCGTGGTCCGCGGTTTCAATGGTGATGACATCGGTGAAGAAGTCAGGTCCCAACAGCAGGCAGAGTGCGCGGCGGGCATGGGGACGCTTGGGTCGCCCGGCGGAGAGGGACAACACCGTGAACTGCTCCTCGGGACCCAGCGACACCAGCTCTGGCCCGAAGACCACACTGCAGAGGGAGCGGGGAGTCAGAGGCACGGAGAGCCCCTCCCACCGCAGCCGCAGCACCCCGCTGGCCGCTACTCACCGAGCCTTCTTTGCCCGGTAGTCATACACCTGCACGGCAGCGTTGTGAGGGACTCGGTAGCTGACCACACGGGTCTTATTCCGGGGAGCGGAGGGCTGAAGGGTCTTGGCCATCTCCTTCTGACCCCTGTCAGCCAGAGGGTCCTGCCCCTTGTTCAGCAGCTCTTCCACCCCCGGAGGCAGCTCCTTCTCCCACAAGACTTCATCTTGGGTCAGCATGTAGGTGCTTCCAATCACAGCACGCACCTAAAGAGAGGAAGATGAGGAGGGATGTCACCGGCAAAGGAAAAAGGGAAAAAGACCCACTCAGCAGCCCTAAAGCAGAACTGGCCCAGGAAGTAGTACAGCATCACAGTTCAACATGGTCTCTGGACCAAGGCTGTGTTCAAGTTCACCATCTGCGAGCTTGATCATCTTGGGCAGCTATTTCACTTATGTGCTTCAGCTCATCTGCAAAAGGGACCCGATAGTGGCGCCATCATAAGGTTGAGGAATGAAATTACACCTCACATGTCTAGTGCCAAGAACTTGGCATATGGTTAAGTTCCTGATACTATTTCTTCAAGAGTTTTTCCTTCATGGGGCAGCTTGGAGGGCATCCCAGGGATAGATGCAATCCTAGAACTAGGTAGCACACTAACATTTCCTAGGATTCTGAGCTCTAACTTCCAGGTTGGATTCTTAAAAGAGGTTGGAGATGTGGTCCTAGGTGGAACCAAGATCCAGGTTTTGGGTGAGGGACAAAGAGGAGGGACTCCCATCAGGATAAGGGAATGGAGGGAAGTGGGGTCTCACTGTTCCTAGGCCACACCCCAGTCAGACCTTTATGCCAGAGGCCAGATCTGTGTTGAGGACCGAGTCCCTATCCTAAAACCTGGTTCACCTTGCTTGGGAATTCTAACATTTGAAATTAGATAGTTAAGACAAATGGAAGGCAAACACTTTGCAGAATGCCCTCATTTCATAGCCAGTGGGCCTGGATGCTGCTAGCAATGCTGCTGAAGTCCCTTCTGTCACCTCCACCACACATCTCCCCATCAGCATCACCCACTTGCCCAGACCACCACGGCCACATGGCAGCAATGTGCCCCTCCCTCAGCTGTTACCCTTCCGGTCTTGACATCCTGCACGTAGATGCCCTCGTTCTCATCCAGAGGGATGGCCTGACGCTCTTCCACCACCTCCACCTTGGCAGATGGCACATACTCCAGGGGTCCGCGGATGAGCCAGCGGTCCCCGGCCTGGTGGGAGACCTTATCCTCATCTTCCCCCTCCTCCAGGGGCTGCAGGGCCCTGAGCAGCAGCCCCTGCTGCTCCGACAGCACGTATACATTCTGGATGCCTCGTTCCAGCTTCTCTCCTGGCTGGAGGAAAAAAGACTTCTCTCCCTAGTGGGGAGAAGTGGAGTCAGGAGCAGTTTCACTCAGGACTGTGGTGCCTCACACGGTACCTCCCTCGGCCCCATGTGACCATGGGCTTGTGTTGAGGACAGGAGCCCCCAAAAGCACCCTCCCCACCCCCACATCATACCGTAAATTATTATCTGGACTGTGAGGCTCTCTACAAATGCCTATACATCTGGTCAAACCTGCCCTTGAAAAATTCTGTAAACTGGCAAGATCTGGGTTCTTACAAGCTCACCACAGCTCAACAGTTGAGAAGTAAGCTATTATTGCTTTATTTCTCCCCCGTTTTGTTCTCTTGGGATGGTGTAGTCCAGAATTGGTAATATAATCTTTGGGCCAAATCTGGCCTGGTGCCTATTTTAAAATACATATGTATTTGAGATATAACCCACATGTTATAAAATACACCTATTTAAAGAATACAATTATGTGGCTTTGGAATATCCAGAGTTGCCTAATATCACTATTCCCTAATTCCAGAACATTATTACCTTAAAAGGAAACCCTATACCCAGCAGCAGTTACTGCCCAACCCTACCCCACGCCAGCATGAATCTATTTTCTGTCTCTATGGATTTACCGATTCTGGACATTTCATACAAATGGGATCATACACTAAGTGGTCTTTTATGTCTGGCTTCTATTGCCTAGTATAATGCTTTCAACTTTATCCATATGGTAGCATGTATCAGAACTTCATTTTTTTTTTTAACATTTTTCAGTTATTTTAAGAACATTAGTGCCCTTAAACCCAGAAAGATTACTTTTATTCTTTTAATTGATATTCCATTGTCTGGAGATACCATATTTCTAATCTATTCATCAATTAATAGACATCTGGGTTGTTTTTACTTGTTCCACCTCCTGTTTTTGTAAATAAAATGTGTCAAGAACACAGCGGCACTGGTTCATTTACAAGCCATCTCCGCTGCTTTCACAGTACAACAGCAGAGTTGAGTAGTTGCAACAGAAACCAGACAGCTCACGAAGCCTAAAATATCTATGCTCTGGTCCTTTCACAGGAAGGGTCTGCCAACCCCTGGTAGTCCCATGTATCATTCAGAGAGGGATGAGGTACGGGGTGGCAAAAAGGGGAAACCAAGAAATTTGTTTTACACAGGATGACGTTTCCAGAACAAACGGATGTGAAATATGAGAGAGAGCTTCTGGGTCTGTGGGCACAGTGCATGGCCAGGGAGGTGCTCCCAGGAGAGGCTGTGTGTAACTTGAGGTCGGGGATTTCCAGAAAGATCAAAGAGAGGTGTCTCAAGAGACAGAGAACTAAGTGTGTGCAGAGGGAGTCAAAGAGAGCTTCTGTGTTTCTAGACCATGCAGCCGGGGTGGGAGGAGGGAAGGGACAGAGGTCCAAGGGCATTCTCTTCTGAGGGAGGTGGAGGCACTTACCTTGACCACACGCTTCTGGCCCAGCTGATTCTTGCCATCCGGTCCAACCGGATCGAGAATCACACAGTAGTTGTGGGGGCCCAGGGTGGTGATGGACACGACCCCCAGCACCTCCTCGTAGACATCTGGCACATGGGCCTCCGTGTCCTGCACAGTCACCAGCCATTCCTCCCCAGTGCGGCGGGACACTCCTCTCAAGTCTCGGAAGTTCTGCCGAGCCCGGAGGTGCAGGGCTGTCTGCAGAGCAAGATGTCGGCGTGTGTGAGCAGACCCGCCTCCAGCTTCCTTGGGGGAGTTGGGAACCCCACTGGCCACCAAATGTCTACCAACATAGGAGGACTTTTTAAACCCTTTCAGGTGACCCAGGATTCTCCTCAGGTGACCTCTTATTTTCACGCTCTCTGCCACTGAAAGCCTCCTACCCCTGGGCCCCCCAGGGAACAAACCTTTTCCGTAAGGATCACAGCATCCACCAAGTCCAGAACCTCCTCAAACACTGCTGGGAGGTACGCACCCACGGAGCGGACCAGCCATTCTTCTCCTGGGCCGGGGGCAGAGAGCAAGGGTCAAAGGTTACCCAGCCTGCTACCCAGCTGCCTCTGCCCACTGCCTGGACAACAGGGGACCAGAAGGACTTCGTAGGCCACTGCCCCCAGGCTCAAGGGCCTGACGGGAGTCCTTGTTTTCATTCCTGAGGCCCGAGGAAAACCAATCCTACCCCAGAAAGATTTTAAAAAGCACTTCCAAGTGCCGGAGTTGCTACTATGCCAATACCCTGCTAGCCCTCTCTAAGCTAAAAAGACTGACTTTCTCCTTCCCTAAAACAGGCAGAACTGCCTCATTAGAGTGGGAGATGCTATTTAGTCTATTGGAGGAGCAAGAGTGCTGGGGGACAAGTTAGCATCCTTGCCCTTCTCGGCCAAGAAACCAGGCCTCAGTCATGGATGTGGAAAACCAGAGTCGTAGTGCCTCAAGGTTGTTAGAGGACTAAGTTATCATCTGTAAAGCATTTGAACCACACCTGGGACAAAGTAAGCATGGCCTTTGTGAAGACCTTGTTTAATACATCATACTTGTCAAACGCAGGTGCTGGTTGTATATGAACACTTACTCTGTTGATCTAGAAATAGATGTGGCCACTACCCCTGGCTCATGGTAAAGCGTCAGGGGAAGGAAAACCCATGTCAGTGTGGCCAAGATCACAGGATCAGGACCAGGGCAGAGTCACATGAAGTGGGGTGGGGGATGCATCAGGGGGCTGCCCCGCAACAGCTTTCAAGAGATACCAGGGAAGCACTCCAGGCTCCCAACCTTCCCCACTTCCCTAGCAGTCATGCCACGGCCTGCCCCACACCCCTGGGAGCACCCCTTCAGGACTCCACCTGTCACTCTCTCCTTGCCCTCCCGGTCCCAGCACTCCTTGCGGGCCCTCAGCCGCAGGGCCTGGTTCTGCCTGATGATAGTGGCCTGAATGATCTCCACGACCTCCACCTCCTTCTGGGGGATATACGTGCCTGGGAAGAGAAGATGAGGTGGAAGCTGAAGGTCAGGAGATGCCAGGGCTATAACGGGAAGACAGGAAGCCTGACCCTGACCTCGCCTTGACGGAAGAAACTTACCAGGTCCTTCAAATAGCCACTCATCTCCTGCCACCACCTTGTCTCCATTCTTATCCTCAAAATCCAGCAGCGCCTTAAGATGGAGGGCAGTGTTGGGCAGAACCACCTGCAGTGGGGTGATGTCCTAATAGGGAAAGAAGTGGGGGTCATGGGGTATTCAGAACTGTGACCCCTGGAGTCAAACCTGTTACCTTGAAGGTCAGAGTCCACAGCATCAATCTCTCCATGTCCCAAAATAAGACTGAGTGGAAGGTACAAGGTAGGGGTGGCCCCAAAGCCATCTGGTCTGAAGAGTGAAGATGGAGTTGACAGGGCAAGAAGATGCCACTTCAGATGGGCCAAGGACACAACTTCCTCTGCAGAAGTGCTCAAACCTTGGTTTGAACTAGGAATTCAGCCGGGAAGCTGGGTAGAGGGCTTGATGGGAGAGGTGGGAGAAGTAACTGGGAAGCTAAATAAGTGAGTATCTCATGACCCAGCATGCACTGGGGCTCTCTAGGAAGTATAAGGAGGTGGGAAGGTATAAACTGCAGTAACAGGCACATCTTATGTGTGAGAATTTGTTTTCAAGGTTGCCTCATGGTCATAGGACAGCCATTGTACACCAGCCATCATATCTCCTCCGTCAGGAAGGGGGACCTGGTAACAAGTAGCCAAATCTTTTAAACGTTTGTACAAATATTTCTACAAATAGGACTTCACTTCATCTTTGATCTGAGGGAGGCAGGAAAGCAAGGAAAGAGGCTCATGGAGGTTAAGGAACATGATGAAGGTCACACAACTAGTAAGGAACATTAAAGGTCTGAACCTCCGCCTCTAGTGAAAGCTACCTGCCACACTTTATTCTAACTAGAGTGGCCCCAGTCACATAACTGCTTCACCCACTGACCACGCGCTGGGCTGGGGAGAGGCAGAGCTGGAGGTTTACTGCCTGGGGAAGCCTCTGCCTGTACCCCTTCTATGCACATGGCACATGACTAGTTGTGTCGGCGGCAGGACATTCCCCCATCTTCGTGGAGTTTAAGTTCCAGCAGGTGATAAGACACAAATAGACCATGCCCTCCGAGCAGACTGTGGACGGTGTCAAGGGAGGGAGACTGCAGAAGTTCAGACGAAGTTAGGAAAGGCCCTCAGAGAGTGCCATTTGAACTGGGGCTCAAAGGAAGAGCTGGCTTTTGATGTAAAGGTGTTGAAGAGGGAGGAGAGGTGAGCATCCTGGGGAGAGCATGTGGTCCACTATGATTTTCATTTCTCACATCTACTGCACCATGTACATCAAGTCTGTCTTTATCTTTGCCATTGTCCTCATCTAAGCCACCAATACCTCTTGCCTGGATGATGGAAATAGCTTCCTAATTTGTCTCCTGGCTGCCACTTTTGTCTCCTTCCAGTATGACCCCCCTCTTCCCCACCACTACGATGTTCCAGCTTGGGTGACAAGGTACCCAGTAGTATTACCAAGTGAGATAGGAAATATGGGAGAAAAGATTTGGGTTTGGATGTGTTAGGTTTGGATGTCCAGTATGAGGTGTCTGTGGGACATCCAAGAAGGGGCTTCCTATAGACAGTTAGGAGACTCATAGTCTGGAGTGCCAGCTAAGGTATAGGGTTGGGTGTCTTTAATGTAGATGAAGTGGTCACGGCCACAAAAAAGAGGGCACAGAGAATATTCAGGGCAGAACCTAAAGGCAGAGGGGATGGGGAGAAGATGAAAAAAGACATCTACAGAGCAAAACATTAAGTGTCAGTAAGAGGGCAGATCAACAATGGATGTGGCTGAGAGCCTGTAAGACACAGAATGACTGTTCACTGGGCCTGCAGTGAGGACGTCTTGGCGTTTTGCCAAAATGGGTTCAGTGCAGGTGGGGACACAGGCCAGATGCAGGGGCTTGCAAAGCAATAGGGCAGAGAACATCAAGTTCAAGTTGTTAAAGACTAAATAAGAAAGAGAAAGCAATAAATAGCCAAAAATTAGATTCATAGGGCTATTCATACAAGCCCATACAAATTTAATGTGCATATCCTGAGACCCAGCATTTTTTAGTTTCTACTCTCAAAAAAAAAAAAACACAAAAAATAAAAACTAGAATGCACAAGGACATGCAGACAAGGATGTTCATCACAGCACCATTTTTCCTATAAATTGGAAACATTCTAAACAATACCCAGTAAGAGAATGGCTGAACTTCTATCCATCATATGGAATTACATACAACAATTAAACAAGAGATGACTTACGTACCAAGATGGAGAAGTTCATTCAAAATACTGACAAGTGGCGATGTACTAGCCCTTATACAAGTAAGTTATAACCAACATTTTTTTCTTGCTACATACTTTTGTGAATGCATAGACATATCTAGAAGTAATACCCTGAGCGGATGATAGTAGATGCCTCTGGGGAGGGAGAGCAGATACTGGTGTGGGAGTCAGAGAGGACTTGACCACCTTATGATTCTTTAGAATGAAAAGCTCGCACTAAAGTAAGCCTTTAAGGCTAGAAGAAGGTGGAAGAGGCAGAACACATTTACTGGCCAAGAGAAAGGCATCAGTAGTGGAGAAGTTGACAGGAGAGAGACGCTCTAGGTGGGGACAAGATCCCAAGGGATAGAAGGATGCATCTTCCTGTATCTACCGATGGAGAGGAACCTCCTAGAGGCTCCAATAGGTAGGAAGGAGATAAGGAAAGGGGACAAACACCCAGACCCTCCCAGATGGCCTCCATTTCTATGTAAGTGATCAAGTCGTTTGAGAGTGAGAGGGCACAAAATAGAAGAGTGGAGAATGATAAATATTCAGAGGCCTATAGGGGCACAAAGGAGAGAAAGCTGGTTGAGAAGGAAGAACTAATGAGCAGGGCTTGGGATGGAATGAACCACATAACCCATTAGCTACTTAGAATACTGTTGTGGTGGATCTGCCCATGTGGCTACTAAACCCCTCCGGGGTGTCAGGACGGAGAGGGCAGGTGGGGGTAGCACTGATCCAGGACTGAGTTTGGGCACAGGTCCAGCGCACAGAGAGTGTGTGTTAAAAGGAAAGGTTCAGTGGCACCAAGGAGAGGCCAGGCAGAGAATCTGAGAGATAGGACAGAAGATGGCTGGCTAGGAAAGGGACACTGAGAGAACATGAGAACAGAGGCCGGCTAGGAAGCGGACAGTGACGTGGAGGAGGAGCCGGGGTTTAACTTCAGGTAGGGGAATAACCAACCAAGTCTAACCAACCAAGTCCAGAGTAAACACGGCACTGGGTGAGGTTGAAGCAAAATGGAAGAGGCGAGGGTCAGAGTTGAGGTCAAGAAGGCCGAGATGTTGATGAGGTCATCACAAGGACACTGGTGAGACTCTCAGGAGGGTGGAGAAGGGAGGCTCGAGAAGGTGCCACCTCAGTGATGGGAAAGGAAGTAATGCGGGTAGAGGCAAGGGCCTTGAGGGAGGGCAAGAGCTGACTTTGGAGAGAAAAGGGGTCATCTCGGTGGCATCGGGCTCTGAGGAAGCGGAGGCCCTGCTCTCCTGGCACACGTAGGGTCTGAGAACGAGCTGCTGTGGGCTGTGGCTGCCAGGGAAGCACTGGTTAAAGAGGCAGAAATGAGGAATGCTCTCCCTCCCCCTAGGGAGCTCCTAAGTGCTGGTACTCGACCACCCACCACTGCTTGGCTCTCCCCCAGAGGGGGATTTAGTTTGACTCAGGTAGAACTTGGATATGGGAGATTATAAAATTTTTGACAGTTTGAGACACAACAAAATCACAAGAATAATATGAAGAATTCCCCTAAACTTCAGAGTTATCATGCTAGTCATCTTCATCACTGACCATCTCTACACATATTTTCCCCAAAGTGTCTGCATCTAAGTGCAAGGGAATGCCTCAGAGCTCCCCGGGTTTGGGTTGAGAGTTGTCAGACCATCTCCCCACCTAATCTTCCAGCCTCCAGAGGATATTATACTCCCAGGATCAAGAAGCACTGCTTAGTAGGGGAACCCAGAGTGAAACAAGCTAGAACAGCAAGGAGGTGAAGGAAGAAATGTTACGGAAATGAAGGCACAATGCCATCTTACACAGGCCCAGGGTCTGAGGGCAACATGGACGAGGGCCTAGCTGGCTGTGCATGTCTGTGACGCCTTTCCGCGGGACAACCACAGGCGTCCGAGCCTGGACCTTGTCTGGTCCACTATTGCTGTCACTGCCTACTAACGTCTGGCACTGTTCGAGGGAATGAAATGGCTACCCTCTCGGCACAAGTTGTTTGGTGCCAGACTGGCAGGGGGCTTCCGGCAGGCTCTGGAGCCTGGAAGATTAGATGGTGAGATGGGCTGACAGCTCTCAAAAGAGGTGCACGTCTGTTGTGGGCATGTGAGGAGGAAGGGGGTGTTTGGGGAAGGTGAGTGGAGGGGTATCAAGTCAATTCTGCCCCTGGTGAAAACCAGAAAATGTCACCCCCACCCCCTCCCATGGGCCCAGTTTGTTCTCCCTCCAGAAAGCAGCACCGAACCTGGGGACAAGGTGGCAGGGCAGGCAGAGAGGGTATGGGGGGTGGGGTAGGCAAAGCCAGGTACCTTTTCCAGCACCTCCCCTGGGTACAGGGGGAAGGGGTCCTGGGCCAGCCGGATCTCTAGGTCAGCATGGCGGAGCCGTACTTGCCCTGTGATGTCGAATAGCACTGAGCCCTGGCCATCCCGGGACACCGGGTTGGCCACCGTGCAGTAATGCCGTGGAGGGATAGTCACCATGCGCAAGGGGGCAAACAGGATCCTGTTGGAGGGTGAGAAGCTGTGTGAGGACCCAGGGGACCCCTGTTCCTACTCCTGAAGGAGGTAGAAGATGGGAGAGAAAGCTCCCTGTCACTCAAGCCAGGGCCAGTCCCGGTGGGGAACAGAAGGGGGGAGATGGATGATCATGCCAGTCAGACTACCAGGCCCTCCTTGGCCCCAGATGCCCCCACAGCCCTGTCCCAACACCAACCTCTCATTGTCCTGCCGGATGTAAGTCTTTGGCCCAACCTCCACACGGGACACGTTGCTGTTCTGGTCCAGCACATGGATGTAGTTGTATGGTGGGATACGGATGATGGACTCCTCAGTTGCCATGGTGATTCCTGAACTCAGGGCAGCACAGAGTGTGACAGACAGGCGGGGAGAAAATAAAAGATGGATACAGGGGCTTGGGATGAGGCTGGCATGAAGACTGGCTGGGAAGGGGGGAATGGATCCTTCCTCCTCCAGCTCAGATTATTCCATCTTTTTGCTGTTCCCACACTCACCTCTTCCTTTCTTCCCACCCAGGGCAACACTACCCATCCAGACCTCAACCCTGCCAAGAGATGCTTGGTACAGCTGACCACAGAAGCCCAGGGTTCTCTGCTGGTTCCTTTTCCTCACTGCCATGATTTACCTCCCCCAGGTTTCCCGCAGTACTGGAAGGGGCTTTAGAGCAAAACTTTCCCAATCTCCAATGCCCACAGTGTAGGAGGGCGAAGTGAGCTGAGTTGGCAGAGGTGGTCAGTCTCCAGTGGTGCTGTGGTCTTCACCAGCACGGCGGGGAGCAATGGCTCTGAGTAGCTCCTTGGCTTCTCCAGGGGCAGGCTCCTTTATTTCAGGGGATCCTGAGGGCCTCAGCTGTATTCAAACATTAGCTCACAGCTCAATAATATTTGTATGATCTTTGCCTGCACCTCTCCCTTCTTGAGATTTAAGCCATCCTGGGATGAACTGGTCAAACAGGGGCCACCTCCCAAGAAGGCATCCCTGATGGAACTGATGCTCCTATAGAATCAGCTGGATTAGAAACACTGCAAAGTATTCTAGTTCTTTCCTTCCCAGTTCTCTCTGGTCTGTTGCCCCCCATGAATCCCTGCTGTCGTGGATAGGGGTGGGTGGGAAAGGGAGAAGCAGTAAATGAGTATTGGGTTCCATCCACCCTCATTCTACCTGCTTCTGAATCCTGGGTGGTTACATCCAGTGCTTGGCCTGTTCAGGAATGTCACACCTAAACCCCATCCCTGTCTCCAACGTGCCTTTGACTTTGGACATGTCCCCTGGAGTCACATCAAGGGAACCAAGTTTATTAGGCAACTCAGAACCTTGCCTTCAGTCTATGGTTCCGCATTTTTGAAGCCACCACTAGAAGGGAGTGGTACCTCATCTACTCCACCATTCATCCAGCTTCTAACCTGGGTGAGAGATGGGAAGTGAGGAGCAGAAAGGGGGAGTGGCTTGGCACAGGAAAAAGAGGCAGGAGCCACAAAATTACGGAAGCAAGATGAAGTCCAAGAGTTTTACTTGATCCACACAATCTGTAAACATTTTTGTTCAGGAACTGTGAGTTTTCATGAACTCTCAATTCTTGCTTTTCTTGAAGAATGGGGAGCCAGGCCCTATATTCTCACATGGCAAACTGGCTATATCCAAGTAACAGCTGAGCCCTTTGGGTGGGACACAAGCTTTCCTGCTTACCACAGTCCCAACCACTCCCTGTTGTCTTATATCTGGATCGATGCACTCACATCACCGTGTGGCTCCTGTTCAAAACCTGCCAAGTCAGCATCATCTGACAGAATTTTCTCTAACGAGGAAAATATTCCTAATCTGTGCTGTCTTTGGACTGACCACATGTTACCAAACTCATGAAATGTGGCTAGTGTGACTGAGGAACTAAATTTTAAATTTTAATTTAAATAGATGTGGCTGATTGATCCCATAGTAGACAGTGTAGCTCTAAGTAGCTGAGTCCCAGATAGGGACGAGTAGTGCAAGGCTAGTGGTACCATCAGGACAGGAACCCTGATGGAATGCCTGGCAGCATGGTGCACTGGTCAGGGGCATGGGTCAGCCAGACTGCCGGGGCTTACTTACAGTTCTGATTTGCTGTTTCCCAAAGCCTTATCTCATTTTGAAAGAGGTTACAGTTTTGATCTGTCTTCTTGGTACACTTTCCACATCAGAGGGAGGTTACTCTGCTCCTTATTCTTTCCATTGCAACTTTGTATGGGATTTGAACTTGATACTTTTCTGTTGCCTGTTTGTGAAGTTAATTTCCCTTAACTTCTCTAACCTCAGAGCTCCCTCTCCTGTTGATTTCAGGTAGTGTTTGATAATACAGGTGCTGGCTTTCTGCTTTCTGTTCTCCCCACTCTTACCTGGACCTTCGCTTTCCTTCCCCTCTACTGCCCATCCTGCTCAGCTGTGTTTCTGCTCCCTGGGACAGGGCCCCGTAAGAGCCGCCGAGGGCTATGTCTGCCTGGATCTTGGTTCTAACCCTTACTGGATGGTTGATCTTAGACAAGTCTCTTGCCTTCCCTATACCCATTTCCTGGCCTATAAATGGAATGGATAAGGCATCAACCCAAGCTATGAGGACGGAGTTAATCATTTAGCACTTGGAACAGAGCCTGGCTCTCAGAAGCACTGTGTGGCTTACAGCTGAGGCCCATCTCCTCCACCCACTTAGGGGATGTGACCTAGGACCAGAGGCTCCCTATCCCAACTGGCATCTTGGCCGTAATCTTCCCTTGTTTACTGGTCAGGAAGGTGGCAGGTCTTGTGTCGCCCCAGCTGTGGGTCTAGGGTAGCAAAAGGGCATCCAACAGCCAAGTGAAGCCTCTTCCTGGTTCTCTGCAGGGTGGAAGCTTGGCCAGGAAGCCAGATGGGGGAAGAGGAAAGGCTAGGGCTGCAGGCGGAAGTGTGGACTGGGCTCTGTGAGGCCCCACAGGGAAGGTTTGAACTCTGGAAGGCCATGCGAGGAAGAAAAGTAGGCTCTGGGAACAGCCTCCAATGGCTCCTTTGGACCATCCTTCGCCCCCTGCAGCTGAGGCCTCTCCACCATCTGTCACCCAAGCTGGGCCCAGTCAGGGGGGCCGAGAACCTCGTCCGGCTCAGTGACTCAGCTGAGAGTCATCCTTAAAGATGATCAGGCTGGGCTCCTGCCCTGTTCCGAGGCCAGGCCCTTGCCCATTATCCTTGTCTCAGTACCAGGACCCAGTCTCACTTCCCTGACCACCCGCCCACCCAGCCCCAAAGCTGTGCCTTCTACTTAGACAACCTGCTAAGTTCACCTGAGAACAGGCTTTGCCATCTCACTCTTGTCATCCCCAAAGTAAAGCCTCAGTAGAGGGCCTCTCAGGGGATCCAGGGAAACCACCTGACATCAGGCAGCATGTTTGTGACAAGTCTGACTTAGACTTTTGTGGTTTACCAGATGACATGTACAGTTACAGCATTTTACGTCCAATATAAGGTTAAGGATTATGTTGACTTTCAGAAGGTCTTGCCCAGCCCTGAGTTTAACACCAACTCCCTAAGTCCACCGGGACCTCCCTTGAGTGTCTGCTTCCGAGACCAGCTCCCTAGTCTGCTCTCTGGGTACATGTCCAGCCTTGCTGATCACACTGACCCTCAAGTGTCATGAGGCTCTTGCATGAACCAGTCAATTTTCATGCAAAGTCTTAGAGACCAGTGGCTCCCCCACTGTACCCCTCAAAGAAGGAAGGGGTAACAGTTGGATGAGCAGAGAACAAAACAGCCTGTGAGAAGCAGAAGCTGGGTTCATCCTCTAAGAGAAAACTCTTGACCTGTCTTGGCTCAAAAGTAAACATGCAAAATTTAATAAATGAGTCATAAGTCACTACACATCAGATTTTCAGGGTCAACTGTGAGCAGCTGACACAGCGAATCTTAAAGAGAAGACGCCTAAGTGATGAGCCATGCTGTGTATTGGTCCGCCGTGAACAGCAACATTGGCATCACCTGGAAGCTTGTTAATGCAAAATCTTGGGTGGCCCCCCCCCGCCCCCCCTCCGCTGCCGAGCTGCTGCATCAGCACTTTAACTAGATTCCCCAGTGATTTGGGCATACATTAAAGTATGAGCAGCTCTGGTCTAAAACAGCCGCTCTCAACCTGGACTATACATTAGAACCACCTGGAGATCTTTTAATACCACCCATCTCTGGGGATTGATTTAATTGCTCTGGGGTGGGGTCCAAGCATTGCTATATTTAAAACTCTTCCACTGACTCTAATATATAGCAAGGACTGAGTTCCATCACTCCTGATACATTCTTAGGCCGCTTGCTAAGCCTGAGTCTTACTTTCCTACTAGACAGTGAATTGGGAATAAAAGTGACTCCTCCCTGGAGTTAAAGGGGTTAGAGACTAGAAAGTGTCTAATGCTCAGTATGAGCTCAACAAAAGGTGGCTAGGAGGAGGAAGACCAAAGATGACCTCAGATTGCAGACTGTTCCTCAAAAGCAGAGAGCCTCATGTATTCTCCAGACCCTCAGCCCCAGGTCCAGGTAGACCCCTAACCAACACAAGTCCCCTTGTCCCAAACCTTGGGCCCTGGATCCAGGCAGGCTCGAAGTTGGAGGCAAGGTCGCGGGGCCAGCCTTGCCACCACCACCTCTATCAAGCTTAGGTTTAGAAAGTGCACAGGAAATTTCAGAACAAACAGGAACTCATCTTTGCCGTTCCCTTTCACTGATTTTAAACATTCTAGTCTGTTTAGAGAATGTGACAGTCACATTACTCAGGGGCTAGGAAGAGGCTACGTTCACCAGGCAGCTTCCCAAATCAGGGAAATTATTTCCTGCTTTAGGGGACAACCATGGAAACTCTTGAGAATCTGTCCCACAAAGTCACTTTCTTTTTAATGGCAGTTTCTTTTTATTTATGGGGAGAGGTTAATTAGGCTTATTTATTTTTTAATGAAGGTACTTGATGAGCCCAGGACGTCATGCATGCTAAGCACACGCTCTACCACTGAGTTATACCCTCCTTCCATAAGTCACTTCTTTTAGCAGCAAAGTTTGAAGAATTTTTCTTCCTAGGAAAATCTTATCTGTGCTCAAATTCAACTGGACCACTTTGCGGGAGCAGCAACTCACTCTGGGGACGGAACAGCTCTGCCAGTTGAGGATGCTTGTCGTCCTGTTTCCATCCTACCTCCCAGATGCTGCCAATTAATGCCAGTCATTGAAGGCGAGAGTTGACTAGAAGTGACCCAGGAACCAGGCTTCAGAACTCCTGATTCAGGTCAGTGTTTTCTAATCCTTTCCAATCATAGGGCTCAGCTGGAGTGTTGATTCTGAGGTCTCACCCCAGACCCCCTGGGATAAGGTTTCCAGGAGAGAGACTCTAGTATATCTTTAGCAAGTCCCCCCCCCGCCCCAAAATAAAACCAGTTCTCACTTAAGAACTTAAATCTGTGCCAGGCATTGTGTTAAATGCTTTCATTTAACTCATTTAATCCTAACAAGAACCTAGAAGTTAAGGAATTTGCTCAGGCTCACACCATGATCAAAGGACAGAGCCAGAATTCCACCCCAGGTACTGTGAATGCAGCTCCAAACCAGGAAGTAGTGTAGCTTCTCAGGTAGAAGAGTCAATAAGATTCTGAACTAGAACAAAGACTTAGGGACTTGGGTGAGGCCGGGTGCTCTCCAGGAGATAGTGCCAGCAGCAGTTCAAAGGTGAGCATGCTCTCCAGGAGACAGTGCCAGCAGCAGTTAAAGTGAGCATTTCCTACAACCTGGGTGGCAGCATCCAGCAAGGAGGCTAGAGTTACCTTGGAGCTATCTGCCTTTCCCTGGGCCAGCTGTTCAAGGTGGCTGCCCTACCTGCTCATGGCTTCAGAGAGCTGCCCTGCCCAGAAAGCCTCACCTGCGGGCAGGCTGGGTGTACTGTGTGCCAAAGGAGGAAATAGGCAGGAGGTTCCAGGAGTCAGTTGGCACCCCTCGTGCCTTTCCCCCATAAAATCTAGGGGTCCCACCCAGACAAAGTGCAGAGAACACCGGGTGTACCTGCCTCAGCTATCACCCACCACCCCTCTATGCTTCTAAATCCCCAGAATCACAGGCTGGAGCGTCCAAAAGAACTTCCTGTTTTTACTTCCCAGTCTGTCCCCGGGGGAGAGAGCAAAAAAAAAAAAAAAACCTTGTTCACCAACTCCATGCCTTCTGGAAATCAAGCCCTCCTTTAATGTCACTCTGCCAATGACTTCTCAAGTGATCTGCAAGGCCCACAGTTGGCCTAGCCTCGAGTAGGGGGCGTTTTGGTAGAGTTGAGGAATCTCAACGGGGACAAATTCTAAGAGCTCAAGGAGACGGGCCAGAGCTCCAGGGTGGTGGATGGGGTGGGGGCGGAAGGATGAGTATAGCAGGGACCAACCTCACTCCAGGAGGGAGTCTGAATGGACCCCTTAAGTTCCCTCTGCCCCTGCTGCTGATGTGGGAGCTGGAAGTCAGAGAGGCCTCAGATTTGGGGGGTGGGGGTGTTAGCAAGGTGTTAGCAAGGTTGATCTCCTTTTATTTCAGAAGCCAAAGGAAACTGCAAGGAGGAAAGCAAAACCTCCCAAGGCTAAGCCTCCACCCATCTTCTCCCCACTTTGGTTCAGAGACCAACTGCCCCAGCCGAAGCCAGCCCTGAAGGCAGGACAGAGCTAGAGAAGGCCTTGAGGGACACAAGGCCCCAAAACTGGTTTGGGGCTTTGGGGTCAGTACGAAGTACTCACATCCAGAAGTGTGGCTGGCTGCAACAGACTCCTCAGATCGGGAACTCCTTCACCGGGCCCTAGGGAACCCTTCCCGGCAGGGCAGGGCAGGGCCGACTCGGGGGTGGGGCCTGGGCATTTAAAGGGCCCCTGCAGCTGGTTCTCATTTTTTTTTTTTTTCTCTCTCTCTCTTCTGGGCGGCTTCCACTGCAGCTGAAGACACTGCAACTCATTCAGTGCTCAGGAATTCCCGCCTCAGAGCCAGCTGGCAGCGCTGGAGTGAGCCTGGGAAGGGTCCAAGGCCAGAGACAGGGGGGCAGGTGCTGACTGAGTTCACGTCTACCCCATCTGGCTTTAATTTCCCAATCTAGGTGAGTACAATTCTGCCTTGCCACAACTATTTAGGCTCCAGCTGCAGCTCCTCCTCTAAGAGAGGATAACTTGGTATTTTTTTTATTTTAAATTCAGACAATTCAGCCCAGGTCTCCAAGCTGATGTTCAATAGAAAACAGAAACACACACACGTATGTCCTCTCTCGGGCCAGGTGCTGGGCTGGGAGCTTGGAGTGTCTCTCCTCTTCCCAAGTTTCCCAGCGCCCTGGGTTAGGGAAGGAGGGCCAAGGCCCCAGCAGGTAAAGACTCTGCACCCTGAAGGCAGCAGTGCTCAGTACTTCCGCTGCCGAGGGAAGAGACTACTTCCTGAGGACCGGAGTGGGGGGCTGGCAGGGCTGGCGTCCTCCGAGTCCAGGCTGAAGAGGTCCCTGCCAGTACGAAGGATCTGCTCCTCCAGCTTCTTGTGTCGCTTCATGTCTGAGAGGACCTTGTCCAGGCGGGCCTCCCGTTTCTGGCTCCTAGCTGAGCTTCCTGGAGAAGGGGAAGGTGAGAGATGTGGAAGGGAGTGAGGCCACATGCACCAGATCTGCTTGGATCTTACTTGAGGAGCTTGTTAAACATTCAGATTTCCAGGCCTGTCAAGGAAGTTCTGAGGTTTAGGGTTGGGTCTTCAGATGGGGCAGGCAGTGAAGGTTTGAATTATGAAAAGGGGCCAGTAACATGAAGACCAAGGCAGAGCGTCCTAGGCAGGGGACGAGCAAGTGCAAAAGCCCTAGGGCAGGAACAAGGAGGTCTGTTCAATGAAAAATATAGAGCTGGGAGAGACAGGAAAGATGAGCCCAAAGAAATGGCTTCGAGGCCATAATAAGGGGTTTGGATCTCTTAGTTTAAATGGAAGTGCCTTTGGAAGACTTGGCTGCCGTGGTGGGGGTGGGAGGCTTGGATACTCTTTTGACATGCTCTTCCCCCAGCAAAGGAATCCTTTGGAGAATTTTAAACAAAGTGACACATTTCATGTTTTAAACAAACCATTCTGGTTGCTGAAAAGAGGGAGGAAGACTGGTTAGGAGCTACCACAACTATCCAGGCAAGAGAGATGGTGGCTTGGTTGAGGGTGTGGTAAAAGTGGAGAGCAGCAGTTGAACTTGGAAATGTGGAGGTAGAGCTAACAAGACTTGCTGCTGGCTTAAATGTCGGGTTAAAAGAAAGAGAAATCAAGAATGGCTCCAAGGGTAAATTCTTGGAAGGCGCATGGGATTGAAAACTGGGTCAGATTAGGAGATGCACACAGTAGTATAGCAATGTGGATCTAGATAATAATGAATGATCAGGAAGACTTGGACTTCCGAGGGGACTGAGATCAAAGGGATGGGAAGCAGGATAGAATTATCTATGATAGTCTTTTAAAGGAAGATAGGGTACCATCTAAGCTGGAAGGATGGCACCACTGGGTGCATGCTCTCTCCTGAAGCTACAAGTTGTGTAGCAACCAAGGCACCAAGCAAGGGCCTCTTTTAGGGTAAGTGGGAGCAGAGGCCCTTCACCTCCCCCCAACTCTCCCCTCTTGTCTGTACCTGGGGTGCGTCTCCGGTCAATTAGGGAGTCCTTTGGTGTCATTGGCTCATCATCAAAGTCGAATTCTGTGGGCATATGTGGTCTGGGACAGGTAGAGAGAGAGTGAAGGGTGAGGGTTGGGCCCCCTAAACACCCACACTTGTTCTTCTCCCCAGACTGGCTGGCTCTTCCTCTCTGGCTCTCTTCCCATCTCCCAACTTTTCATGCTCCTGAGTCCCACCTCCCCTCCCTATTTCCTCCCGGCATTAGGGGAGCAGCCCCAAGGACAAGGTGTAAGGGCATGCCCTCACTTTTCCTCTTCCTCCTCTTTGGCCTCTGGCTCCTCATCCGATCTCTCCTCTTCACTCTGGGCCTCAGGCGTAGGGGGCCGGCGGGGCAGAATCTCAGCCTGAAGCTCCAGGGTACCGTGAATAGCCAGTAGTTCATAGAGCCGTTGGATTTCGGAGGGGGGTGGCATCCAGGACTGCCCATCCGCGGGCAGCTCCACCTCCTCATCGCTGCAGGGCACGCACCAGTCCTCGGATTCTCCCTTGGTATGCTCTTCCCCCTCAGTGCTGGGGGCTTCTCCCGGCACCTCCTCGGCCCCGGACCCCTCATGCTCAGCCTCCTCCCGACCTCCTTCCCCCTCTTCCTCGGCTTTATCGGCCGAAGCAGAGGGGCCTCCGGCATCCTCCACGGCCAGAGCCTGGAGGCCGGAGGTCACTTCCCCTTCTTCAGACAGAGGCGCCGCCGTGGTGGCTGCAATGTCTCCATGACCCCGGACAAGGGACATATGCTACTAGGGAAGGGGCCTTGCCACGATAGAAGATGCGAGAATACTAAGCCGGGGGTCCCCCGCCCCCCGAAGGGTGGACGCCCCAGGGGTTTAGGGACTGTCTCTCTAACCAATCAAGCTCCAACAGCAGTCTCTGCGACCAGACCGACCGTTCCCAGGAGGGGGCGTTCAGTCCCCTCCAAGGACCCCGCCCCACGGGTCGAGATCGAGTACGCAGATGTTCCCAGCGACCGGCAGAAACCACTTTCTGGGCCGGAGAGCGGCGGACCCGATCTTCTCGCCTTCACACCGCCCCTCTTTACAGCTAGATACGGGACTCTCTCCCCACACCTCGAAGTTCCGCCTCCCCAGCTGCCGTACGCACCTGGAGCTAAGACCCGCCTCCCGGGCTGCGCAGGGTCACAGTACGCAGGCGCACAGAGATGGCGCGGGAGGCTCCGCTTTAGTCTAAGCTACTTGGAAGAGGAAGGCAAGGAAAGGCTTGCACATGCGCAGGTAGGGGCTCGGGAATGATAGGCTTCGGCCACAGTAAAGATGGCCACAGGGGCGGCGCATGCGCAAACCACCTAGTAGGTTCTGCCGGAAAAGAGGCAGTACGCGGGCTTCCCGGGCGGGCGCACGCACGTACGTAAGGACCAACTGAGGCTGGAGGCGAGTCTCATGCAGTCTCCGTTTATTGGTGTTTCAGACTCATGCAGCATCCGGCATACAAAAAGGGAGAATTAGTTTGATGAATCTTTTTTTTAAAGACTGTTAGGTTTTTTTCCCTACAGTTTATTTTAGGAAAAAAAAAAACCCGCCAACTCCGAACCGTGTTGTAGCTCGGTCCCCGCCTCCCCAGCAGACTGTTGCGTGCAACAAACCTCGCTGGTCCTCTAAGAAAATAATTACAGAGCTCTCCGCCTCTACCTCGCTCCCTTCAGCTGGGAGCTTTGGTCCTATTTGGGAGGTTCTTTCGTTAACAAAGCACGTGAGTGACCCCAGCCCCAACGCTTTTAAGAAACTCGCTGACTGGGTTAAAAAGCCCAGGTAGGGCAGAAAACTCAGGCTGGCCGGGGAGGGTCAACAACCGCGCCCCTCCCTTCTACCAGGTGCGTTTTCGGCACAACGCTCGGCACACCTGCACAAGTAGCCAAACGAGGCCTGGCCTGCCAGCTCTACGACCCCGAGGCGCCCTGGGGACGTCTGGACCTGGGTGGTCCCAGCAGAAAACAGTCGGAGCCCCGGGCTAGGGAGCCCTCTCCTGGCACCACTCCCCTCCCCCAGCCTGATCTAAGTGCTGGAGTTTTTGCAGAATAAACGGTGGAGGAGGGTGGAGGAGAGGATGCTGAGGGGAGATGAGGAGGCAGGGAGAGGAAGGGGAAGGAGGGTGTGGTGAGGGAAGGGGAGATGAACAAGGAGAGAAGGGAAAAAGGAATGGAGGAGGATGCGAAGACCATGAAAGTTGGGAAGAGGAGACCAGGGTTGAGGTGCAGGAAGTTCGGGAGGCTATAAGAAGTGCAGGAAGGCCGGGAGAGATGCAAGGAGGCTGAGAGCAAAGAGAATTTGGGAGATGTTCCAGGAGGTTTCCAGAAGTGCAGGGAGGTTTCCAGAAGTGCAAGGAGGTTTCCAGAAGTGCAGGGATAGGGAAGCCAAGAGGCTGGAGGGGATGCAGGCAGAAGTGCAGGGAGGTTGGAAACAGTGCAAGAAGAGAGGCCTACGGTTGGCAGAGGAGCCTGGCAGGATGCAGGAGCAGGAAAGAAGCTGTAAACAAGGCCGCTCAGGCTCCCTTGGTCCCTATGGGTGCGGGCCTGGACCATGGATTGGGCTCCTCCCAGGGGAGGATGGGCCCAAGGCAGCTCCCAACAGGAAGAAAAGTCTTGGAATGCAGGGCAGAGCCCTTCACTTATACACTGTGGGAGAGGAGAGGGAGGGACAGGGGTCGGGGGGCGGGGAGAGGGAGACAAGGAAAGACAAAGGAGAAGTAGGGAGGATAGAAAGGAGAGAGCAGAGAGCAGGGGCAGGGGTTAGTAAAACTGCCCTTGCCGACCCTTCCATTCCTCCCGGCCTGTCCCAGACCCCCACTCACCGCCTAAGTTGATGACGCAGGAGGCGATGATGATGAGGACCCCCCCTACCAGCGCCACGATGCTTAAGAGCTTGGCCACGCGGCCCAGACGCTGGGCCCCATCCACGTCCCCCTGCTGCAGGCTGTTCCGGGACTGGGGTTAGGGTGAGGTGTGGGGGCACCATGGCCCAGGTCAGGAGAAGCCAGCCCAGCAGGGCCCAGGTGAAAGAGTCATCCAGAGGAGATAGGCCAGCCGGTGGACAGTGGTGATGGGGGGGAAGGAGGGTTGGAGAGGCAGTGGGAGGAGGGTACAGGTCAGGTAAGGCTGGTGTGAACTGGCTCCACACTCCCCTCCCACCTGGAAGGGGGTGGCCAACCG